TGTGGTGGGAGCAGCGCCCTGTGAGGAGCCCTCGCGGCGGATGGGCTGCAGCCAGTGGTGGCCGCTGTGCTCAGTCCTCAGCCCCGGAGGGGCTCGCCTCTCCTTGTGCTGCTTTTGCATAATGAGGATTTTTGTTTTGTTTTATCAAAGGACACTAAGCCCTGATGACTCACAGAAAACCAAAGTGAAAAGAACAGGCCGTTAAGATAAAGATGTCATCATGGAGTTTTTCTGACCTCAAGTCATGCCTTATATTACGTCTTTTTTAATAGAAGGGCAACTTAGGACACAATGCTCTGCTTGTTGTTGTTTTAGATTTTGAATTCTAACTCTTTGAACTAACTACATCGTATGTTTTCACATTTTAGAAAGGGCAATTTTCCATTCAGAGTTATTCACCATCTCAGATGTTATACACATTTGCCTTAGTGAACTTTTAAAAAATATATTTTTTTATTGATTTTAGAGAGAGGAAGGGAGAGGGATAGAAACATTGATGAGAGAGAAACATAGATCGGCTGCCTCCTGCACGCCGCCTACAGGAGACCGAGCCCACAACCCAGGCATGTGCCTTGACCAGGAGTTGAACTGTGACCTCCTGGCTCCTGGGCCAATGCTCAACCACAGCCACGTCGGCTGGGCCATAGTGAACTTTTTGTACTGTATTTGTTTACTTGAGGTTGGAGGAGGCTGACTTAACTTATATGTGGATTTCTGACTGCAGGTGGGCAGTGCCCCTGACAGCAGTGTTGTTCAGGGTCAGCTAGTTCTCTTTTCAGCCCCTTTATTGAGGTGTAGTTGACATACAGGAAACTGCACAGGCTGAGTTTACAGGTAACACGTGTTTACCCATGATATCATCACACAATCAAGGTAATGAATGGAACCATCACCCCAAAAGTCCCCTTCGTAAATCCCGCCCTCTAACTTGCCCCGACCCAGATGCTCTCTGCCACTTCAAATGAGCTCAGCTCTCAATGAACCAAAAATTTATATTCAAATGGAATCATAGTGTGTACTTTTTTTTTTTTTTTTAAATCTGGCTTCTTTCACTCAGCAAAATTATTTTGAGAAATAGCCATTTTTGTTTTTAGGATTTCAGAGTTAACTTCTATTTGGGTTCCTAGATGGAAAATATTACTTTTTTGAAAACTGTTAGCCTGTTTTGAATCCATTTGAGAAATCTCTTGAATAAGAGTCTTAGCTAAAATCTTAAAAAGAAGCTACACTATGTTATCTTTGAAAAGTCCAACTCAAGTAATTTACACTTAGCTAAAGTTCCTCACGTGTTTTTATGGAAAACTTTAGGCTCCTGATAGAGAATGGCTATTCACCATTGTCTGTGTGGGCTTTGTAAGGTGCCATAATAACTGGTTTCCTTTCCTTTCCAGATCCTTCTGGGAGGTCAGTCATGGGTGTGAGAGGCTTGCAGGGGTTTGTGGCAAGCAGCTGCCCACATGTATGTACAGCAGTGAATTTCAAAGAGCTGGCCGAGCAGCACCAAAGCAAGCATCCCGGATGCACGCCCACCATCGTGGTGGACGCCATGTGCTGTCTCAGGTACTGGTACACCCCTGAGTCATGGGTTTGCGGCGGCCAGTGGAAGGAGTACTTTTCTGTCCTGCGAGATTTTGTGAGAACTTTTACAGACGTGGGCATCAAGTTGGTATTCTTCTTTGATGGCATGGTGGAGAAGGAGAAGAGAGATGTTTGGGTGAAACGGAGACTCAAGAACAACAGGGAGATTGCCAGGATTTTCCATTATATCAAGACGCACCGGGAGCAGCCCAGCAGGAGCATGTTCTTCATCCCCTCGGGGCTGGCCGTATTCACGCGGTTTGCTCTGAAGGCGCTGGGTCAGGAAACCCTGTGCTCCTTACAGGAGGCTGACTACGAGGTGGCTTCCTACGGCCTCCAGAACAGCTGTCTGGGGATCCTCGGAGAAGACACCGACTACTTAATTTATGACTCCTGTCCCTACTTTTCCATCAGTGAGCTCTGCCTGGACAGCCTCAGCACTGTCATGCTCTGTAGGGAGAAGCTCTGTGCGAGTCTGGGCCTCTGCCTGGCAGACCTTCCCCTTCTGGCCTGCCTGCTGGGCAACGACGTCGTCCCGGAAGGCATGTTTGAAACCTTTCGGTACAAGTGCTTGTCCTTCTATACCTCTGTGAAAGAGAACTGTGACAGGAGAGGCAACGTCATCTTAGCTGTAGCAGACCACATAGCTAAAGTCCTTCGCTTATATCAAGGTGAGAAAAAGCTGGAAGAGATGTTACCTTTGGGACCAAACAAAGCTCTTTTTTATAAGGGGATGGCATCATATCTTTTACCAGGACAGAAATCTCCATGGATTCCCCCAAAAGCCAAAGCTATAACAACTTTGGACAAGCAGATAGTATCAGTGAGTTCAGACCCTGAATCCAAGCAAGAAAGTCCTGAGAGTTCAGACCCTGAATCCAAGCAAGAAAGTCCTGAGAGTACAGATTCTGGATCCAAGCAAGAAAGTCCTGTGTGTACAGACCCTGAATCCAAGCAAGAAAGTCCCATGTGTACAGACCCTGAGTCTAAGCAGGAAGATCCCATGTGTACAGACCCTGAATCCAAGCAGGAAGTTCCCATGTGTACAGACCCTGAATTCAAGGAGGAAGACCCCATGAATATGGAGCCTGAAATCAAGCGACAAGTAACCATGGTTTCAGACACTGAAATCTTAAAGGTAGGTAGATAAGCCCACCCTTATCTATGACGGCCTGATGGAAACGCATCCATCAAGGCACTCGTCAGTGAATAGTGACCACCTGCAGTAGGTAAGGTGCTGTGGGGACGCAGAATAGGACCCAGGAGTTTAGTTAGGAAGTGTGACATAAGCCCTGAAAACTCACATTGTAAACCACATTTGACATTGTCACATGGCTGTTCCAGAAGAGGCCTCTGAAGGAGAGAGATCCCTGTGGGTTAAGGGATAGAGAGAAGCTCCCAGAAGAGGTGGAAGTGGAGCCAGACCTCAGTGGAGCTGATGTGCTTCAAGCAGGTACATAGGGAAATGGGTCACTTATGATCTTCAGTTGGCTAGAGTATCAAGTCGTAGCTCTTTAAAATACCTTTTTTTTTTTTAAATCTTAAAGCTGCTAGCCTGTCCTCTGTTGTGATTAAAAGACATTTTTGTGGGGGCTGGCACGAGGTGAAAGGGATTAAAGTGGGGGAAAGGAGGGCATATGTAATACTTTGAACAATAAAGATAAATTTAAAAAAAAAGACATTTTAGCAATGAAATGGACATTTTTGTAGTCTGTCTAGCCTTATAACAACAGTTGACACTCACTGAGCACACAGGATGTGTCAGCCAGATGCGTTTCCTGTGTTACCTCAATCCTCAGTAGTTTCGTGAGGTTGCCACTTTTTTTTTTTAATTTTGTTTTATTGCTTAGATAGGTTGCCACTTTTATTAAACCTATTTTATGTATGAAGAAAGTGAGGAATAAAGAGATTAAGACTCAAGTCTGCATTAATGAATCAACATAACTAGTGTGTATAAACAGTGAGACAATCGGATTCACCAAGGTTTGATATTCCAAGTTATCCTGCTGCCACATTTTAAGTGCCATTAGCTATAGACTATTTAGACTTAAATTTTGGGTAGTAATGTAGATGAATTTTTTCTTGCAGTAATAAGAATGTTCTTCACAGGAAAATACAACTTGTATGTAGATTTATAGCCCTTCTGAGTTTAGTTCTTATTTGATAAGAAAGTAGAATCATTTAAATCATCCATCTCTTCACCTGCCTTCAGATTACTGAGCAAAGGAATGAATGTGACCAGCATCTCAGCCCAAGGAGTTTATAGTTTAGTGGGGAGATCACACAGGGTCAGTGTGAGTCGAGCCCCGTGAGGAGGGGAGCAGAGGTTTGTTTATGGAGAGGGCGACACTGAGGTGAGCCCACAAGGGAGAGTTGCTGGTGAAGTGGGCAGCTGGGAGCTCAGGTGCAGGTGGGAGAGGGTTGAGCATTCCTGTTATTCCTTGCTGTGTGCCTTAAAACACTGGTGTGTGACATAAAGGTGCTGACTTTTCCTGTTTGAACGTCCTTGTGTTTGCAAGGAGAATTCCATTGTGTCTCAATTTTGAGCAGGTTGCTAGAGCCCAGCACGTGCAGGCGGAGAGCTACCTGGTGTACAACATCATGGCCAGTGGGGAGATCGAGTGCAGCAACACCTTGGAGGATGCCCTGGACCAGGCCCTGCCCAGCCAGGCCTTCGTCTACCGCCCGGTGCGGCAGCGTGTCTACTCCCTCCTGCTGGCGGATGGCCATGGTGAGTCCTCGTGACCGTGCAGGGCACAGGCGGTTTCTGACACTGGCCGCTGAAGACACAGATGCAATTAAACAGGGTTTGTTCTTGGTGGAGGCTGTGATGGGATACCACCGACATCCACTTAAAGTGAGGTGGAGGCCACAGGCCTCTGAGTCCACTCAGCCAGCAGTTGCCCGCAGTCATTAAAAAAGAGCATTGTTGCCCTGACCGGTTCGGCTCAGTGGATAGGGCGTCGGCCTGCGGACTGAAGGGTCCCAGGTTCGATGCCGGTCAAGGGCATGTACCTTGGTTGTGGGCACATCTCCAGTAGGAGGTGTGCAGGAGGCAGTTGATCGATGTTTCTCTCTCATCGATGTTTCTAACTCTCTATCCATCTCCCTTCCTCTCTGAAAAAAAAAAAAAAAAAAGAGCATTGTTTCTATGAAATGTTACCTATTTATGCCTTAGAGGACTGTGTTTTTTCGAATGTGAAAACCCTTTCCTCCGCAGAGAGTAGCTGTTTACTATTAGGAGACAGTGTCTACTTACTGTCCCTCAAAATGAGATTTTCATAAAATAATTATATAAAACCTAGTACATCATATTTTAAAATATAAACAATTTTCCTTTAGGATATTTGTCATAAGTTTATGTGTCTCCCCATCTTTCTGTCCGTTGTGCAGTAGCAGCGAGTATAGGGAGAGGACATGAGTGGCCAGGGCAGTAACCTGGGATACCTTCAGCACTAGGAGTCCATCAGGCCCCAAACCCTCTCTGAGGAATGGTTTTGGGGAGTGAGGGGAGGAGAAGGGCACGTCTCCTAGAGACGCGTGGTGCTTAATGCAGTGGTATCTGTCACCTCAGTCACCTGAGAGAGGCCGACTGCACCGTCCTGTCTGACATGAGGTGATGAGAAAGAAGCTGATTTAAAAACAGGAACAAAAAAGAACCTATGTAATATGCTTTGGGGACAAATATTGTTTAATTTGTTTTCTTATATGGGTCTTTCTGAACATGAATGATTACACATTGATGATTTAAAAAGATTTTCATCATGAAAAGAATTTACATTATAGAATAACGTTTGCCTCAAATTATTTTTAGAGTACAGTTGGCCCTTGAACAAAACAATGCAAGGGTCAGTTAGGGGTGTCAACCCCACACTGAGTCAGAAATTCACCTACAACTACATTTGACCTGCATCCTCAGATTCCTTGAAAAATGGGGGTTTGAACTGCCTGGGTCCACTTACTAAAATTGCATGTACTAGTATGTTATAGTTGAATACATGGTGTTTGGGTGGCTAGACAGCGCTGTGGCCAAATGTGGGAAGAACCTGCAATCACTCACCCTTAGCCCTCCCTGGCCTGCCATTCTTTCCGGATTCTGACGCTGTCTCTGAGCTTTAGTCTCCCCACTGATCATCTTAGCGACGTCACTGAGGAGGTAGGAGAAGCTGCCCCTCTGCATCGCGGTGGCTCACGATGTTGGCGCGGAGCCCAGGCGAGCAGCAGCCTCTGACGGGATTAGCTGTCCTGTTGCTGGGCATCCTCCTCACTTCGCCCAGTGGGCTGGGCAGGGCTGCCAGTCTTATGGGCACTCAGCCCTGTGTACATAGTGTCCAGCAGGCGTGGCACCTTTGCAAAGTGCCTGCAGGCCATTCACTCATTGAAATCCTAGATACTGACCTAAAAGGTAACTTTAAAAATAATACATAAAAAAGAATGGAAAGTTACTCTGTTTTTTTAAGGACCATGAGCACACACACATTGTAGATTAAACAGCAGTATAAAAACATTGCAGAACTACAAGGACATATACATATGCATATGTTTTTAATTTTATTGTGGACAGTATTACAGGTGTCTCCCATTTTCTCCCTTTTGCCCCGCCCCACCCCAGGCCTTTCCCATGCTGTTGTCTGTGTCCTGGGGTTATACAGATATGTTCTGTGGTTAATCTCTTCCTGTCCCCCCCCCTCAAACCCTCCCTCCGAGATCTGTTATTCTGTTCTAGGCATCCATACCTCTGGACCTATTTTGTTTGTCAGGTTTTTTTTGTTGTTTTCTTTAGAATCCACTTATAAGTGAGATCATGTGATACTTGTCTTTCTCTGACTGGCTTGTTTCGCTTAGCATAGTACTCTCCAGGTCCCTCCATGCTGTCTCTAAGGGTAAGAGGTCCTTTTTTACAGCTGCGTAGTATTTCATGGTATAAATGTACCACAGCTTTTTTATCCACTCATCTAATGATAGGCACTTGGGCTGTTTCCAGATCTTGGCTACTGTAAATAATGCTGCTATGAACATAGGGATGCATATATTCTTTCTGATTGGTGTTTCGGGTTTCTTAGGATATAGTTCCAGAAGTGGGATCACTTGGTCATACAAAAGATCCATTTTTTAAAATATATTTTATTGATTTTCTACAGAGAGGAAGGGAGAGGGATAGAGAGTTAGAAGCATCAATGAGAGAGAAACATCGATCAGCTGCCTCCTGCACACCCCCTACTGGGGATGTGCCCGCAACCAAGGTACATGCCCTGGACCGGAATCCAACCTGGGACCCTTTAGTCCGCAGGCCTACGCTCTATCCACTGAGCCAAACTGGTTAGGGCCAGAAGATCCATTTTTTAATTTTGATGTAAGTCCATACTGTTTTCCACAGTGGCTGTACCAGTCTGCCTTCCCACCAGCAGTGCACGAGGGTTCCCTTTTCTCACCAGCACTTGTTGTTTGTTGATTTATTGATGGTAGCCATTCTGACAGGTATGAGGTGATACTTCGTAGGACAAATATATTTTTAAAAAACCTAGAAGATTGTTACAAACTTGACAATCCCCAAAATTGAGAGGTTGAAGTCCACATTGCTTCTTGCTCTCTTTTGCCCCATATGCCCCACATTTGCCCCCAGACCCAGATCGGGAGGGAGTCGGTGCTGGGCTGGGGGAGGGGCACGTGACCTGGCAGGTTTCTGTGGGGAGAGGTGGAGTGTGCACAGTCACCCATGCTGCTCCCAGGGAGACATGTCTTGGCTGCACGTGGATGTGACAGAGCGGCCTCATGTGTCGGGGTGACAGGAGCAGGTTTGGGCCTCCTCCCATCTCCATGCGATGGCCAAGTGGGAGGGAGATGAGAACCGCAGAGCTTTTCCGAGAGGCCTCCCTTCGCTCATGGACCTCAGAACCCAGCCAGTCGAGTGCCAGGGGGAGGGGCAGCCTTTTCTTTTAGGACTTCTGGGCTGTTTCCTCTTCTCTTTTTCTTGGTATATAGGCATTAAGATGACTTCATCTTAATTCAGACAAACCAAATTATTTGCAAACATGTCTGCTATAATTTCAAAGTGATGACAGATCAAAACCTCTGAAATGAAGTGGTGCCCCAGAGAATGGCCAAACTCCAGGGTTTTCTAGGAAAATTGGTTTATAGTTAATTGAAGATCTCAGGTAACACTTTGCGTCTGGCTCGGGGTTTTGGAGGCGTGGAGCTGGAGCTTTTCTGAGGAGGGTGATCCGGTTAAAAGTGGAAATGGTGCCGTCTGGATGTTCTGGGTAGGTGAGGACAGTCCGCCCACTGCCAAGCTATCCTGGTGAGCGCAGCCTCTGCCCTCACCTCTCGTGGCAGGAGGCACCCTGAGGGTCTTTGTAGCCACCTGACCTGTTCCTGTGACACAGAAGAACCCGCAGAGGGGCCTGGTGCTCTTTACCTGCCTCCGCCTGAGGACGGGAGGGGAGTGTCTGAGGCTGGGGAGCTCGGGGGGCAGCAGGCTCCAGACAGGAGGAAGCACTACCTCTGCTTGGAAGGGTCCCTGGCAGAGCTGGGTTTGGGGACGCTTGGACCTCACGTATCTACTGATCCACTGTCTTTACTCAGATGGCGCCAGCTGCCCTCCCGTCCAGGAGTGGTTTGTGTACTCTGGGAACCCGCTGACACACCCGGACCTCGTCAGGCCTCTGCAGATGAGCCTCCCAGGTACAGACGGCCTCGGTCAAGCAGGTCACTGATTGTTCCCCGTGCAGTAGAGTGCAGTCACGGATTCGCCTGGAGATGCATTTTCCAGAACTGCACATGCACTAGTTGCCAGTTCAGTGGGCCCGGAGGAGGGCCTCTGTTGCTCACGGCAGAGGGAGGGCGGCACAGGGACCTGCGTGGCCAGCCTGCTGCTGGGCTCCACTCAGGGTTTCAGACAGAGCCCATCACCGCCGGACCCCAGCCCGACCCACTGAGCCTACAGGGTTGGGTTCCTGATACTCTGCACAAATCTGCTCTTCTTCCCACTGCGGAGAGCATGTTTAAATGCATGGAAAGTTATTTTAACTGGAAAATAAGTTTCTTTTCCACGAGAGGTATCTTCAAACATATAACGAGAGGGAAGGAAAAGCACGTCGCCTACGATGAGCTGAAGCGAATCCTCGCTTCCTACAAGTTGCAGCGCCTCTGTCTGCTGTGCCTTCCTCATGCCGTTGTTGTGATCCACGTTAACGAGCAAGGGGCGTCTTTCTCTGACGTTAATAATGGAAATGCATGCGTAACAGACAGAAATGAAGCACTAAAGTTACGCGTTAGGGATTTATTTCCCAAAGCGTGGGGCCCAGGGGAGCCATGCTCATCGTGGCTCCACAGCCAGCAGAACGGCCGGGCAGTGTCAGCTCTGCAGCTGGTCCTGTTGCTCCCTGGAGTTTGGAGGCTGTCGGGCGGGGTGGAGAAAGGGACCAGGTGAGCTGGTGTCTCAGCCCAGCGCTCCTGAGGGCAGCGCTTGGGAACAGACTCCAGAAAGCGTTCCTGACCCCACGGGCACCTCGCAGGGAGGAAGAGCCATGCCCTCGGAACACGGAAGCGCAGTGTGTCCGGGAAATGCGTGTGCGCTGCCTTCAGACCAGGACTCTGCTGACATTGCCTCTGGTCCCTCTAAGCTTTAAAGCCCCGGGTGTCAGGAGGGAGAGGCTCGTATCCTTTGCTCTGGTACCGTCTTTCTAGAGCAGCGGTTCTCAACCTGTGGGTCACGACCCCTTTGGTGGTTGAACGACCCTTTCACAGGGGTCGCCTAAGACCATCGGAAAACACGTATATAATTACATATTGTTTTTGTGATTAATCACTATGCTTCAATTATGTTCCATTTGTAACAACGAAATTGGGGGTCACCACAACACGAGGAACTGTATTAAAGGGTCGCGGCCTTAGGAAGGTTGAGAACCACTGTAGAGGAAGCATGTTGTAACTCGCTGGTGCAGAGACTGATGTAAACGGACTCCGTGGACTTTTTATGCAGGGGGAACGCCTAGCTTGAAACTGCTGTGGCTGAACCATGAGCCCGAAACCCAAGCACGGCGCGTGGAGGTGCTCCTCGCCTGTTTCGACCTCTCCTCCTCGAGGGAAGAGCTGCAGGCTGTGGAGAGCCCCTTTCAAGGGCTGTGCTGCCTCCTCACCTACCTGTTTGTGCAGGTAACCTGGGCTCCTTGTTGTGGCCTCCGTCTCATGTGAGAGGCAGCACTCTGGGTGCAGCCAGGCGGTGGCTGCATCCCTCTGTCCAGTGCTGGTCCTTGAGCACTGGCTCTCTGCCGGGCCTGCCTTCAGACTCGAGTGCACGCAAGGAACGGGCTTGGGAAGCCCTGCCTGCCCTTTGGTTCTGCGTCCAAAGCTTGAGGACGCGGAGACCCCTTCTGTTGTGTGACTGCTGGGTGGCCCTTCCTGTTCCTGGGCACGGGGTGCGGGGAGGGCCCAGCTCTGTGCCGCTTCAGCTTTCCCAAGTCACAGCCAGCCGTTCCTCTAACCAGTCGAGCATGTCCCTTCACGCTCTAGGCCGAGAACGAGATAACAGCTTCCTTCCGCGGCTCCTGGGACAATCCCAGGGCAGAAAACATGGGGAGTGCTCTGTCAGAGCGCCTGTGAGAAGGCTGCGCTCGCCGTCCCCATCACCATCAGTCCTCAGCCCACTGCGCGGGGCCAGGCCACCGGTACAGGCACAGCCCAGGTCCCTGTCAGACCCTTCAGCAGGCTGGACAGCTCCTTCCTCATTCATTTTAGACTTAGTTTACATAGGAAAATTACAAAAGCCAATGAAAAGATTGGCCTTTTTCGTAGTTTTCTGCACACACAGCAGTGTCCATCCCCAGCCCCACCTCCCTGCCCCAGCCGTCCTACTTTACATTCACTTCTGTCTCCGTTGTCCCAACCATAAGAGCAGAGGGTCTGTCTTCAGCCACAGAACTGTCTCATCACCTCCCCTCCAGGCCATCTGTCTTTGGCTCTAATCTTGGGTCTGTTGGGCATAACCATGCATTTTAGTTGCCTGGAGTGGGAAGTTGTGTGATTCTGTTTCCAATCTGAATTCACTTCACGAATAGCTGAGTTGCATTTCAGGGACCTCCCTGCTTCCCGGCCTCCGTGCCCGTGGTGGTGTCCCTGGAATAGCGGGTCCTGACTGTCACAGGACCGTTATTGCCCTCGGTCAGTCTGCTAAGAGGTGCACTTGTAGAATTCTCACATTTCCATGTAGCTGTGCTGACATTAGATGCTTTTGGGTGTGATTTGGGATAAAAGTACATTCTGTTCAGTGCACAAACCTGCACAGAAACTAGTCTGGGAAGAGCCTCCGGGAGGGCCCGTGCATCCCAGAAAGGGCGCTTAACCCTCCACTAGCAGAGCCAGTGCTCTCCCTGGGACGCTCTGCAGTGTAGACGTGTCCGCTTGTAACTGGCGGCCGATGTGGGCGGTGAGAAAGCAGGGCAGGAACAGTGCCCCAGGGGCCCTTTTTAAAGCACCTTCTTCAAACGCAGCTCAGGGCAGGAGGTGGCATCACTGCCAACAAGCCCAGGTGAAACGCAGGGGCGGGTTGTGGCTTTGAAACTACTTCCTCTGCTGGGACCTGCGTCTGCAGAGGGGGCCCTTTTTTCTTGGTCATGAGAACCACTCCTTTGTAGACGGTGTTTTCCCCCTGAGATAAGCAAGTTGTTATTTATACAAAGGCAACAGCTACTTTGCAGTAAAAATGGAATAGAGAGGTGACGGGTGGGTCGGAATGTTCAGAGCTTAGCAGCGTCAGTCTCCCCACGCCGGGACTTCCCACAGGGTGCACATCCTGTTTGGAGGGGCTCCCGGGTCCCTCTGAGGGGGTCATTCAGCTGGTCCCAGTCCTTCCCCTCCCTTGAGTAGGAGGCCCATGGAGTCTGCGTCCATCGTGGCTCTTGGCTCCCCTACCTGCTTCCCTGCCTGGCTCTTCTCCACATCTCTGCCTCCTTGTTTCTCCCTCACACTCTTCCTAGACCTTTCGTTCCATGAAGGGTTGGCGGGGACTCATATTTTGGGGGTCCTGATTTCCTTTAAATTGGGGTTCGAAGACACAAGCTTCCCCTGGGGCTATTGAGGGTGCGTTCTCATCTCAGCCCTAGCCACCCAGTGAGGCCATATCCTCCATGTGACCCTGTGCTGTCTGCAGGCTCTCGGTCCAGCTTGGCCTGGGCAGTGGGAGAGAGGCCCTACTCACTTCCACTTGCGTCTCCTCTGCTGCTTGAGATCTGAACACCGTGTGCCTGTAGCCAGTCCTTGCAACCGTGTCTGGAAGAGCTAACGCTGGCTCTCCTTCCCTCGCAGGTGGACACACTGTGCTTGGAGGACCTGCATGCTTTCATCGCTCAGGCCCTGTGCCTCCCAGGGAAGTCAGCTGGGCATCTCGCAGACTTACAGGTATTGGCACAGGTGACTGTCTCAGTGCTGAGGACACCTGTCTGTGGTTGGGACCCAGCGACGTTAAACAGCCAAGCAGAGTAGAAAGAGCTCAAGGCACCATGCCCTCTCCTGCTCTGTTCACAGGTGGGGAACTGAGGTGGAGTGGGAGGCTGAACGCAACTTCTCATGAAATGAAGGGGACGTTGACGCCAAGTGGGACTTTCCTTGTCTGTTGACACTGGGTCGCCTCCCACCACCCTGTTATTGGCGGAGTTGAAGTGGATTCAGGGCCCTCATGTCCAGCCAGCTTCTTGCCTCTTCCCTTTCCATGAGAAAGACCCTGTGCCCAGGAGTAAGGCGGTTTGGGAAAATGCCCTGGACAGCAGGCTGAGGGAAGCTGTGAGTGAGGGAAGGTGTTCAATTTAAAGAAAGAAAAACCAGCCACAGGTGAGGAGGCGCTGGTCTCACCGACACAGCACAGGGAGGAGCTGAGCAGGCCCGGGCTCCTCTCAGGGGTGCTCAGTGCTCCGACGTGGCTTTTCCTGGACCAGCTGCAGCTGTCCGTGGTGCTCAGCCGACAGCTCCAGAGCACGGAGCGTGTTCCTTGTTCTGTAAGGGCTCCCCGTGCCTCATGCAGCCCAAGGAGAGACACGTGGAGGGAGATGGGATTTAGGGTAGAATCTGCAGAGTTAGGAGGGAAAGTCATCAAAGTAACAGACTTAACTAGAGAGCACACGTAGCTTCTGGGGTCCCCCTTTTTAAGCAGCAAGACCATCCCGCCCCCCCCACCTCCCCCCACTGGCTTTGACTCCAGCCTCCTTCCAGACGGAAGTTCTCCTTTCAGAATGAAAGAATCAAGAGGACAGACAGACGCAGCTAAGCAGGTGGGCAGCCTCTGCCCTCACACACGCTCCTGACAAGCTCTCTGCAGACAACTCCGCCAGACCCAGGAGGCTGAGGAGTAGCCCCAGGACACGAGGGCCAGACCCGCACCCGCTGTCCTCGGCGCCTGCCCAGCAAGGCTCGGGGAGTTTCCCTGAGGGCCGTCTTAGACGGCGGTGCCACTGCCACCCGGAGGCCCTGCCGCTTCCATGTGGAACCTGCAACATCGGACCAGGCCTTTCGGACCAGAAAGGTGACCTCAGAGCCTCCGACTTTAACGCTGTGGCCTGTGAAAGTCCCCACGTGGCTTCGATGAGGAGATTGCTGTCTGATAAGCAGCTGGAGCCGGGCCTGCTCAGCCAGCTCCCACCAGCCCCGCGTCTCCACTGGTTTCAGCCCTCGTCAGCCGTTCGGTGTGGTTCTCTTCCTGAGCGGCTTGTCGAGGAGGAAAGCTGAGCTTATTTTCCAAAACCTGACATCGTAATTAGAAAAACAAAACAAGGCAAATGTGGCTGAGAAATACTTTTCTAGGGAAAAGATATTCTGGAAAATGAAAATATATAACCACACCGGTTTTAACCACACAGGACCCTCGCCTGCAGACATAGGGAAGCTCAGGAGAGCACCCTGGACATGCGGGTGGTTCTGGGGTGAGCACATCACTGCTGCTGGTGGTGTGGCCGGTGTAGAGCCAGAGGACAGCCGAGGGCCAGACCCGTGCCCTGCCTGTCTACCACGCCCAGTGTGCCCACCGCCTCTGCTAGGCCCCGCTCGGACAGTGGCGAAGGAAAGCCATGCTAGGAATCGGAGGTGCTGGTGCTGCCCCTCCCGTCCCGAGGTGGCAGAGCTGGGCCCACGTTCCCTGCAGCCCTGACACCTGCCCGAGACCAGGTCGTGCATCCCTTTCCCACTTGGGACTCCTGGGGCAGCGAGAAGCCTGCAGCGGGAACACCGTGTGGCGGGGGCTGTGGCTCTGCTGCAGGGAGGAGGGTGGCGGCTCTGAAGGCTGCCCAGCACTGCCTCCTGTGCCAGAGCTGACGGGTGCCGCCTGGTCAGGTCGCTTGCTGTTGACTCACCGAGGCTTTATGTTCACTGAAGATCTCTAAGAGCAAACACTGTCTGTCACTTAGGTTTGTTGTTTCTCAAGAACAAACTTTCCAGTTTAAAAACTAGTGTCATCTCCCCCTTGATGGGAGCCTGCCTGTGGAGAGCTGCTAAGGCCAGAGGACCTGGGCACAGGTAGCCCTGCCCCGCCCCGCCCCGCCCCTGGGTTACCCGGCTTGCGGAGCCCATCTCCCTATTCAGTAGGGAGGGAGCTTGACCTTGGACAGGCTCTAGAGGACATCAGCAGGCCATGGTTTTAGGACAATTTGGAAAGCAGTCCTGGACAGCAGACGCCTTTACTCAACCTTAGATTGCCCGGTAATCCCAGCTTATGGTGAATTTCCCAAGATCAAGTGTTTTTTATGTCGGTCAGTGAAGTGAAACCTTGATTATGAAGGGGATAAAGTGTCACATTTCCTGCCTTATCCTGGTTTTGTGACTGAATCAGACAGGCAGTGACGTCCAGGTGGCAGCTGCTGAACTTGAGTTCCTTGGCGGCTGAGCAGACGTGCACACGGCCAGAACCGTGGACGCCTGCTGGGTGGCGGTGACCTGTGTGCCACAGAGGCCATAGGGAGGCGAAGGCTGTCGCCCAGCAGGTCCCCCCGGTGGCAGGTTAGCTCTGTCTCAGGGCAGTCAGGACGTTTCCCATCAGGGGGACTCACCAGCAACAACATACTTTGTGTTGGAAAGGTCGTCTTAATTGTAAAAGTTAGCCCATCAACCCTGTAAGCCATTGTATCCTCAGTGATAAGTATTTATTTAAAATGATATTTTCAGTAATCACACTCATGGTTAGAACAACCGAGGGTCACGTTTCCATCACAGGGAGCCCTCGGTACCTACATGAGGCTCTTGGCGCAGAGTGCACCCCAGAGCTTGCCCGAGGGCTCAGCTTTGCGGGGGAAGGGGCCGCTCACAGGGC